AAGGAATTACAGAGAGGAATATATAGATACTCAGGGAGCAAGGAAAGACCCAAAGGATGACCTCTAGTATTAGTTCTCAGCATCAGCCTTTGGCCTCTTGCTTTCTGAAGGATCGTGTGCTCTGGTATCTATATTAGTTAGCTGTAGCTGTGTAACAAATTACCCCAAATCTTAGCAGTTTACATCAAATACAAAATTATTCTTTCACATAGATTCTGTGGGTCAGGGATTCATGAGTGGGGCCTCACCCACATACCTTGGTGGTTTGGACTTGGGGTGTCTCATCAAGTTACTGTCAAGATAGCTGGGGCTGTAGTCATCAGAGGGCCTGAGGGAGCAAAGGTCCACTTCCAAGGTGGTTCAGTTGTCTGCCAGTCAACTTGGTGCTGGCTGGCAGCAGGAGGCCCAGTTGTTCCCCACATGGCCCCCGCATTGAGCTGCCTGAGTGTCCTCATGACACAGTAACTGGCTTCCCCGTGAGTGAGCAATCCAGGAGACAAAAGCTGATAACTTAGCCTCAGAAGTTACACACTATCTTTTCTATAAAATACGATTGGTCTATAAACCAGTTCATCGTGTGAGGGGACTGCAGAAGGATGTGCTTACTGGGAGGTTATTCACACTGGGGCCACCTTGGAGGTTGCCTGCCACAGTTTCCCTTTCTATGACCCATTTGGACACCTCATTGATCTGAGAAGTGAGAAGCCAGATGATCAGCATATTTCAAATTACAGCAGGAGGGATGCAAGTTAGAGAGTAGGAATACTGCCCTATGGGAGAATACCGGAGACAGGTGACCAAGATTGTAAAGGAGTCTTCCCTGGAGGGGGCTCAGGGCAAGAGGATTTCCTTGGGGTTGGGAGCAGGTGCTTCTTAAGGCATAAAAATTCACCTGTGGGGGCTTGACCATGCTGGGGCTGCCTGGAACCTGCCACTTGAATTCCGTTTGCCAAGCTTTTGTCTTTTGAGCTGGGGGCTGGGGAGGTATTTCTTTGCTCCCCACTATAGAGCTTTCAAGGACAAGCTCTTTGCATTCCAGCACGTAGGGAGCACTCAGCACATTGTGCTGCAATTGCCCAACGATTTCCCCATCTGCCCTCCATTCAAGGGCATTTGCTGAGTGTCTGCCCACTGTGTGACAGGCAGGGCTGCCCTGTATAGTCATGCAGGCCACTCAGTGCCAACGGCGCCTGCCCAAGAGAGTCTTGGAATTAGTCTGTGCTTCGTTCACCAAGCCACGCATCCAGGTACAGGGCTGGGTCCACCTGGATGAAGGACATCTTTGTGCCATTCCCACAAAGACAATGTAGTCAGTGTCCTGGGGGCTGGTCTGCCCAGAGGGTGGGACTTTTTCTAAAAGATGTTGTTTGGCACCATGTGCTTGTAACACACACTGATCTAGCTGCTGGGGATACAGTCTGAACAAGACAGACATGTTCCCTGCCCTCATCAGTCTAGTGTGGGGAGACGTACTATATAAAGGTAAGCAGGAATTTCCCAAGATGACTTCAGATTGTGAGCTGTGCTAAGAGGATTTTTATCAGGGTGCTGCTAAGAAAGAATCATGGGGAGCCTACTGTAATTTGAGTGGTCACGGAAAGACTCTTTGGAAGAGGTAGCTTTCAGTGGATTCTAGAAGTAGAAGACGGATGTGGACCGGTGAATAGTGGAGAGCTGGGGTGAGGGAGAGCCTTCCAGGCAGTGAGAACAGCAAGTGCAAAGGCCCTGAGGTAGGAAAGAGCTTGATGCACGCTGTGAATGTCAGGAGTATGAAGTCTGATGCTGGAAGACGGAGGCCTGGCTCTTACTGTGCTCCCAGTGTGTAGACTGGGCTTGGGAGGCCTGGGGTGGACCCTTATGGATGCCTTTAAAGTTTTTAGTTTAATTAATTATTTTTGGCTGTTCTGGGTCTTCACTGCTGCACAGGCTTTTCTCTAATTGTGGCGAGCAGAGGCTATTCTTGGTTGCGGTGCGTAGGCTTCTCATTGCAGTGGCTTCTCTTGTTGTGGAGCACAGGCTCTAGGGCATTTGGGCTTCAGTAGTTGTGGCACACGGGCTTAGTTGCCTGAGGCATGTGTGGTCTTTCCGGATGCTGGATTGAACCTGTGTCTCCTGCATTGGCAGGCGAATGCTTTACCGCTGAGCTATCAGGGTAGCCCTTGAGTTCTCATGCTCAGTCGCTCCGTCTTGTCTGACCCTTTGTGACAACAGGGACTACAGTCCTCCAGGCTCCTCCGTCCATGGGATTCTCCAGGCAAGAATACTGGAGTGTGTTGCCATTTCCTTTTCCAGGGGAATCCTCTCAACCCAGGGATTGAACCCGCATCTCTTGTGTCTCCTGCAGAGGCAGGCAGATTCTTTATCAGTGAGCCACCTGGGAAAGCCTGGGGAGGGAAGCCCTACGGAATGCCTTTTTGACTGACTATAAGACGCTGTATGGAGGGTTATGGCTCAGGAAAAGACTAAGTGTTGGGTGGGGGTGATTAAATAGGTGTGTGTGTTAGTTGCTCAGGCATATCTGACTCTTGGACTGTAGACCCAGGACCCCATGGACTGTAGCTCGCCAGGCTCCTCTGTGTGGAATTTCCCAGTCATAAATATTAGAGTAGATTGCCATTTCCTTCTCCAGGAGATCTTCCCGACCCAGGAATTGAACCCAGGTCTCCTGCCTTGCAGGTAGATGTTTTACCATGTGAGCCACCAGGGAAGCCCTATTAAATGGGGGTGCACATAAATTCCTGGGGAGATCTTCAGTCAGGTCAATGCAGCAAACATTTATTAAGCCTCTACTCTGCACTAGGCACCACTTGTCACATACGTGTGTGTGTGTGTAGGTGTGTGTTTAAGAGAGAGAGGGAGACAGAGAGGGAGAGAGACAGAGAGGAAGACAGAGAGAGCGAGGAGGTCCCTTTCTTGAAGGAGCCACCAAGTGTAGGAAGCAAGATGGTCAGGAGAAGTGCACTCTGCGGTGATGCCTTCAAGGAGGAGGGCACAGTGTGTGCAGAGGCCTCCAGAGGAGGGCCCAGGACTTGTTCTTGTTGTAGTTGCTCAGACGCTAAGTTGTATCTGACTTGGAGATCCCATGGACTGTAGCATGCCAGGCTTCCCTGTCCTTCACTATCTCCTGGAGTTTGCTCAAATTCATGTCCGTTGAATTATTATTCTTGAAGACCTGGCATTTGACTAGCAGAGGAAGAGGAGAGCTCCTTGGGTCAGGAGGCACTGGCCCAGTGAGCGCCTGGCTGGCTGGAAGGGCCTTCAAAGCTCAGGCCACATGGCCTGAGGCCTTCTCAATTCCACATTCCAAGGCCAGAAAAGGAGGCCCGGGGATGGGAGTGAGAAGGCCGCTGGTGTCAGAGTGGACACACCCTCTGGAGGGAGTTGCCACCTGAGGTGGTGAGGGTGGGACACTGAGAGAGAAACGGAAAGGCTAGAAGGATGGGTGTGACTTGACTTGGGTGGCCGGGAGTGGAGAAGTCCCCGAGCTGGACTGTGTGACTGGTGGGGTCAGGAAAGCTTTACTCAGCACTGGCTGAGCCACAGGCCTGAGCTGTGGCCAGAACTGGGTTCTGGGAGAACAAGGTCCGGCCAAGGTCACATCGCAGACTCCGCCCCGTGTCCTCCAGCTTCCGCCCCCAACCCCTACCACCGCAGACAAACCAGAAGCTTTCATGTGGGGAGCCATGGAGGCTTTACTGACAGCTCTGGGCCTTCCTGTGTGCCTCGGTCTCCCCTCTGCACTTGGCTGGGGATCTGTTTGGCTTGAGGTTGGAAATGGGTGGGTAACTATTCGGGCTTCTTTGGAGGCTCAGCGGTGAAGAATCCGCCTGCCAATACAGGAGACCTGGGTTTGATCCCTGGATCGGGAAGATACCCTGGAGAAGGAAATGGCAACCCATTCCAGTATTCTTGCCTAGGAAATTTCATGGATAGAGGAGCCTGGCAGGCTGCAGTCTGTGAGGTTGCAAAGAGTCAGATGCGACTTAGTGACTAAACAACAACAGCAACAAAACTGTAGATCCAGGAGGAAAGGCAGCTGACCAAGGCCAGGGCCGTGAGGCTCTGGGGTCAGGGTCCATGGCCCACCTGCCTTTGCAGGCCTAAGTGCGTGCAGCAGCTCAGCCCAGGAGACCCCTCACCCTGTCTCTGGGACCTGGTGGGAGGGGACTACCAAATCCTGGGTGGAGGGCCCTGGGGGTAGGGCGGGCAGGGCTGGGACATTCCAGGCTGAGGGAACCCCACAGGAAATTTGATTCCAACTTCTGGTAGTGGGAGGGCAGAGCAAGTCCTGTGTGTGTGTGTGTGTGTGTGTGTGTGTGTGCGCGCGCGCATGTATGTGTGAGCATGTGTGTGTCTGTGTTTTAACTCATGTGTGTTTTCTCATGAAGTTTGTGAGTTTGTGTCCACAGTCTGTGTTAGCCTGTACTCTGAAGGTCTCCCCTGAAATTGTGTGTGGCTTGCCAGTGGGTGTGTGAGGCTGGCTGTGTGTGCTGCGTGTGTAAGTGGTTATTGGTGTGTGTGGGTGTCAATGTGTATGTGTGCGTGCACAGGCCCTCTCCTGGACCGCGAATTGGGTCCGTGTGTCTCTCTTTGCCGGAATGAGAGTGATGTGGTTCTGGGGTGCCGCCTGCTGCCTCGTGTGTAAGGGGAGACGGTCCTCTTATTCCTGGCTCGGCTGGCTAGGGGCCTGGGTCCAGACTGGGTCGGCCAGGACCTAGCCACGGAGTGGGTCCCCTCCTCTCCCGCTGCTCCTCCTAGCTTCCCGCGCCGCCCGAGGGGCTCTGGGCGACTGGGGCCTCGGCGCCTCCCGGGCGTTCCCGCCCCGCAGGCCCCGGGGAGCCGCAGCAGCCCCCCGCCCCTCCTCTCTCCGTCCCTCCTTCCCTCCGTCCCTCCTTCCCTCCTGAGCGCGGGTTGCGGGCGGGGGTGGGAGGAGATTTCGCCGGAGTTTCCATTTCATACCTCGCGGCTAAACTTTCTTTCTGTGTCTCGCCCTCTTGCAGTCTGCAGCTTCTCCTGTCATCGGAAATGCCAGGCCAAGGTAAGGGGCTGCGGGCCGCCCGGTCCCGCGGGGGACTGGAGGGCCGGACGGGCTTGGGGTCCCGGGACTGGAGCGGGGGCTCCGGCGGGCCGGGGGGCGGTGCCCCGATCGTCCCCTCCTTCTCTCTTTGTTTATGCAAAGCTCCTGGGCCCCGGAGCGGACTCAGGTCAAGGTGAAGGCGAGGACTGGGGCGGGGGGGCTGCGAGCGGGGGATGGGGGCGCGGTGCGCAGGCTCGGCGGCTGCTGGGGGTGGCTGACGGAGACCGAGCTCTGAGGGCAGGGCCTTTGAAGGTATTTCCCCTTAGTTCTCCACGGGGTGGGGGTATGGAGGGGCAGAGGGATGCTTTACAATTACGCCATGGGCCGCGCGCGGAGCTCTAGCCGGCCGGATTTGGCGGGATGGGGGTCACAGCCACAGGACCCCGAAGGCGGGAGCATGGGATAGGTAGGGGGTGGAGGGGTGCGGTGGAAAAAGGTCAGAACTCAGTGTCGCGACCTCTGGGCCTGGAACCTCTTGAGCGACCATCCTGCTCTTTATTGGCCGGGTCTCATCCTCGGTTTCCTCATCAGTGTTTCCTGGCTGGTCTTGAGGGAGAGGAAAACCAGAGGCAGGAAAACCAGAGGCAGGAAGACCAGAGGGTTTGCTGGGTCCTAATTGGCCGAGCTGGCTGATCCCTGGGTTGGCTGTATCCTCTCAGGCCCTGGCAGAAGAGTGATGGATCACCAGTGGCAGCCTTTTGGAGTCACGGGGGTGGGGGTAACACCAGGTTGGATTATGATGGATTACTTGGGAAGGAAATTGTTCTGTCAGATGCGCTCAGCTTTCTGGAGCTGGAAATGCCCTGCCTTAACTTTCATAGGCAGCCCAGTCTGCCTGCCTTCCTCCAGTATTGTTAATATCTTCCCTGCCCCGCCCCCTTTGCCATTCACCCTCGATCTTTCAGGAAGGAGTTCAGGGAATGGAAAGAGGAGGAAGGATGCTTCAAAAAGGAACTTTGAGCAGTGGAAACCCAGCAGAGCATCTTCTGCTCTGCTTCTTATTAGCTGGGTAAACTTCTCTGAGCCTCCATTTCATTCTTAAGGATGTGGGAATAAGAAAAGTCTATTACAAGGATGAGATGGGATAATATGTGTGATGCCCAGTGCAGTTCCTGAGACACAACAGCTGCTCAAAACATAGCAGGTAATTGATGATTATCAGTCGGTAGCTCCGAGGGCCAAGGGTTACCTTGTAGAAAGGTGGCACTTGTAGACCTTGTGGACCCAGCAGGTCTTAGAGGGGACCCACTTCCTCTTGAGTGTCTTTGCTCAGGCCTTGCTGAGGGCTGTGTCCTCCTCATCTGGAAACTCCAGGCTGGGGGCTCTCCCAGCACAGGTGTCAAAGGCCTGGCTTGTCCTTGCCATCTGGATGGTTTCTGCCTCTTCTGTTGCCTTCTGCTTTTCTGACCCCCTCAGCCTTTTCTTCGCCAGGTGGGGAGTGAGTTTCTGCTTCTCCTTCCATCCCCTTCCTTGTTCTCTTCATTCAGAGCAGAGTTTTTCCACTCTTAATCCCAGAACTTTCTGGTGTTCTAGCTCCTCCCCAATATGCCCCCTCCTTCCTGCACTTGTTTCTCTCAATGACAGTGGACATTTACAGTGCTATAGGCCTTAGAAAGCACTTCAATGCATTATCAATTCTATTCTTTGGATTCTATCAGGGGATAAACAGGCTGAAAGAGCCTTTGGTTTTACAAATAAGGAAACTGAGGCACCCAAAGGTTGGATGACTTTCCCAAGGTCTCTCAGTATAAAGCCTCACCCACCTCTGTCCCTGGGCCCTTGTACTTCCTTCTAAACGTCCCCTCCTTGCCTATGGGCAGACATTCCTTGGTCCTTAGCTGCCCCTCCCCCTTTGCCGTCTCTTGCTGTCGTGGATGCAGTCAGAGAGGAGAAGGGGATGAATGCACAGTGAAGGGTCTGAGTCGGCTAATGGTGGTGGCTGGGGGGTGGTGAGGCAGTGTTCTGGAGAGGCTGAGAAGTGCGATAGAAGATGGCTCCTTGTTGTGCGGCTGCCTCCTGTGTGGAGGCAGAGGGATGACAAAATGACTTCTGGGGGGTGGTGCGCAGTCTGCTTGGCACTTCTCATGTATGCTGGGAGTCAGAATATACCAGGCTGCAGCAGCCTTGCTCTGCCCAGCCAAAGAGGCCAACGCGGAGGGGAGAGGTGGACTGCCAGGGCAGCAGCCGGCCGGCCGGACAGATGGGCCTTTTTGTAGGATTTTCCTCTGTAGGAAATGGGACCCACCGGTGCTGTGAGCTCCACCCAGCTGGCAAGCCTCTCCCCTAAAACCACAGTTCTTACTACCGCCCTGCTGTTTCCTTTTGCTGGGAAAGGGTGATGTGAGCCCCAGAACACACAGCAGAGCTCTGTACTCCAGCTTTTATAACCAGATCAACTTGGAGGTCCTCTTATCCATTCCCCTGCCTCTAGACAGGATTCATTAAATCAGTGTGTTTTGAGCTCTTTCCATGTGCCAGACACTGTTGTAGGTGAACAAGACCAAGAAAGCCTTTGCCCTCATGGGACTGACATTCGAACATGGGTGACAGATGATAAATAGACAACCAAGTTATGAAGGAAATGAGCTAGAGCGGAGGTTAGAGGATGATTAGACTGAGTGGCCCAGGGAAGCTCCTCCAAGGGAGCGTTGTGTGAGATGAGACCCAAATGATGCTACATGATGATTTGAGAGATGGAAAGAGCCAGTACAAAGTTCCAGAGGTGAGCTGGCTTGTCACACTTCAAAGAGGGCTGTGTAGAGTAGAGAGCGCTGGAGAGGAGAGCGCACTGGAGGGTTTTGAGCAGGAAAGACATAAGCCACACTTCGCTTGGAGAAGCCCATTCTCACCTTGGGCAGGCAAAAGGGCAGGAGCAGGGAGATGGGCCAAGAGGTGGCTGACGTTGCCCAAGTGAGAGTGGCTGGCAGTGTAGTCCCTGGTGCTTGCAGGAAAGACGGTGAGAAGGGACCAGCCCTGGGATGCATGGTGGGCCAGAGCCCAGAGCCTGGCCGGTAGAGGAGATGTTGGGTGTGAGAGGCAGAATGGGATGACTCCCAGGTTTTTGGCCGGAGTCACTGGGTGCACGTGGTTCCATTTTCTGAGATAGATGAAGTGTATGAGAAACTTCCAGCGAAGAGGGTGCGGGATGTCTGCTTTGTTTGGTCTCTTGTTTCACAGTTCCTTTCCCACGCACTGGGGAATTCTTGCTGACGTCGATCCTCCTCTGTCCTCTCAAATTCAGCTCAGTCCGGCCACCCCTCTAGTAAGTGGCTGGCTCTGGATGCCTAAACATTCTTTCACCCAGGCTGTTCCTGCAGCATGAACCCAGGACTCTGAGAGGTGCCCTGTTATTTATAGTCACAATACAATGTAACAAGTTACCCTCAAATTTAGTAGCTTAAAAGCAGCCAACACACAGTTTCTATGAGTCAGAAATTTGGGGGTGGCTTGGTGGGATTTAGTTCTAGCCTGGGGTCTCTCCTGGGGTGGCAGTCAAGATGTCAGCTGGGGCTATCGTTGTCTGAAGGCCTGATGGAATGGACTGGAGGATCTGTTCCAGGATGGTTTACTCTTGTGGCTAACAAGCTGGGGCAGGCTTTTGGCAGGAGATCTCAGTTTTTTGCCACACAGACATCTCTGTAGGACTGCTTGAGTATGCTTCCAACATGGCGGTAGCTGCCTCAGAGTGGGTGAATCAAGAACGCAAGGCGGAAGCCCCGAGTCTTTTATATCCTTGCCTTGGAAGACGAACACTGTTTCTGCAATATGCTGTTCGTTAATGCAAGTCAATCGCATTGAGAGGAACTTCGCTGCTGGCTCAGACGATAAAGAATCCAACTGCAATGCAGGAGACTGGGGTTTGATCCTTGTGTCGAGAAGATCCCCTAGAAAAGGGAATGGCTAACTGCTCCAGTGTTCTTGCCTGGAGAATGCCATGGACAGAGGAACCTGGTGGGCTATAGTCCTTGGGATCACAAAGAGTCGGATACAACTGAGCAACTACCATTTTAGTCCCATTGAGTGTGGGAAGGGCCTTGGAGACAAGATCCATTGAGACCATTTGGAGCCTGACTTCCACAGATTTCCAGGAAGAGAGCAAAACTGATCTGGCTTTTGGAAGGTCTCAAGAGTGGTGGGAAGGGCAGGACATAGGAATTAGACTTACCTGGATTTGAACTCTACTTCTGCTGCCTTCCAGCTGTGTCAGTTGGGTTATAGAGGATTAAGTTCCCATTGGCACATAGTAAGCATCTTCTCCTTTCTTGGAACCATAGGCAAAAATAGAAAAGAGCCCGGATATTCTGTGCCCCATTCTTTGCCACTTGGAGCTGCTTGAGAGGAAATGCTGGTAGAGGGGTTTTAGTGCTCAGCTCAGAGTAGATTGAGCTGTTTATTGCACTTAGAACTGTGAGAGATATGTTGCGCCCTTAACTTCTAGAATAGTGTCTGTCTGGTAGTAGAGGTTCCATGAAGAAATAAAGGAGTGGAATAAAGGAATGTTGAGAAACAAGAAGTTCCTATGTAGGGAGAGGCTGAGGGGGTGGATGAGAGCATAAAAGAAGGAGCAGAAAAACCATTTTAAAACCCCTTCAAAATGCTCTCCTACAGCTTGACACAAAGATGCTCCAAATAAAGAATTCCCTGGTGGTCCAGTGGTTAGGACTTGGTGTTTTCATGGCGATGGGCCCGGGTTTGATATCTGATTGGGAACTAAGATCCTGCAAGTTGCATGGTGCAGCCAATAGAAGAGAGAGAGAGAAAAAAAAGATGCTCCAAATAATAAATCTAGTCATTTACATTTTCTAGTTGGGATACAACTCAAATATCATCAACTGATAAATTTGTACATATTTATGAACCAGATCAAGAGCTAGAACATTTCTAGCACCCCAGAAGCAGTCCTTGTGCCCGCCTCCAATCAATATCCCCCAAAGGTAATTGCTAGTCTTACTTATAACCTC